TCTTTAGTGGGAAAAAAGGCTGAGGAGGAAAAAAGAGTACATCACCTGAATTTACAAGTTAAGAGAAATAAAATTTGAGGTGGGTGGAATTTCAAGTTCCAAATTTTCCTTTGGAGGGGTCTGTTCTTGCTTCTCCCCGTAATCGCCAAACACGGTCGCCAACTTTAAATGTTCGTGGCCTGACCTTGGTCTTGCTTTCCTTGTGGTTTGTCGCGAATTGCCTTGCGGAACTCGGCATGCTCCTCCATCTGGATGTACCCAGCAGCGCGAGCTCGGAGCTCGCCATGTCGAGAGGAGGTCGTCGGCAAAGACTATCGACAAAAGGTCCTCGCTTCAACGCCATGAGCATGGAGTGTAGTGCGACCTCGGGATTCAAATTTCGGATCTTTACTGAGATGGCGGTGAATCGTTCCATGAACGTCTGGAGTGGCTCGTCGTCACTCTGTCTGAGACTGGCCAGGGCAACTGATGTTATGTGATGAGGTCGGCTCGTCGCAAATTGTGCTGTGAACCGGCTGCCCAGGGTGCCGAAGCTGTCAATTGACTCGGCAGGTAGCTGGGTGTACCAGTTGAGCGCGGCCCCTTTGAGCGAGGTCGGAAAAACCCTACAAATATATCATCATTGTTAGTGTAGAGGTTTACCTGTGTCGTATATAGGTCGATGTGCTCGTCGGGGTCCATCGTGCCATCATAGCGATCGAGGTGGAGAGGCTTCCAACCCTGAGGGAGTGGTGTCTCCATGATGCCATCCACAAAGGGATGATGGCGGAAGGTTGCTTGACCCCCTATGACATGAGTTAGGGCTTTTGCTGACTTCATGGACCGACTTGTTCGTCGGAACATGAGACCGGTGCGCGGCAGGTCGTGGAGTCGGTGCCCTAGTCGCAGTTCGGGGTTGAGAAACCGAGTGCCCTTCTTCCTCGTGGAGGTTGCTCGCCTCAGGAGGATGATCAGAGGGGCGCCGAGGGAGCTGGGCGCGAATCCGCTCGTTTTCAGCGCGTAGCGCCACTAGATCAGCTTCATTGGAGGTCCGCATCGCCGCTAGGTCGGTTTCGTGCTGGGCACGCATGTTTCGCAGATCGGCGTCGTGTTGCTGCCGCATCTGTTCGACCTGGTCAATTAGTCTCCTCAATGTGGCTTCGTTGTCCATGGTAGTTGAGTGATTTGCGTCGTCTGTTGCGCGTCTGCTATGGCTTCTGGTGAATACCATAAGCGTGGCCGATAATTAAGAGCTGTCTTGATCGGCCCCACGGTGGGCGCCAAATGTTCTTACCGGAAATCTGCTGTAGAGCTGATCCTCCGAGTAAGATTGGTGAGCCTCCTTCGCTGGTACACTTGATGCTCCAAGATGGGGGTGGTACCTGTAAAAGAGACTCTGATGCTAAAGTTAGGGTTTGTATGAGTGTGAGTCTCGTATAAATAATGCACGTACCTTGGTGTGAATTAGGGTTGTGTTGGGCCTTGGGCCCGAGATCAGTTATGATCTGATTAGGATGACGAGCTGACGTCACACAGCGCGTGTCCGAGGTCGTCATGCGCTATGGTGCCGAGTTCGGAGCTCGGCTTCGCAGTACGGATAGTACATATATATATATATATATATATATATTTTAACTAGTGTAAGAAACAAGTTAAAATATTATCATACACTAGTACAAAATATGGAATTTACGTCACTCTATTCTTGTCGGACAAAGAAAAGTCTAACATTAAAAAAATGCGGTGGCATTTTTTAAATTATAATAAAGTTTTTTACGTCGGATCTCATAGGAGCCGACGTAAATTTGAAAATCTACATCGGATATAGCTTGTGTCCGACGTAGATTTTTCAATTTATGTCAGCCCTTATGAGGTCCGACGTAAAATATCTACAAATTTCCCCCACGCCACTTCTTTTTCCCCCGTGCCCTAAGAGCTTTGAATTATATATATCCTGAGTATATATGCAAAACGAGTCTTCTGAGTCAATATTTCGTTTGAGTGTATTGCATCTGAGTGTACGTTTGAGCGTTTGGGGGGTTCTTGAGTTTTTGACCGATTGCATTGGGCTCGCGTTCGAGGTTAATTTGGAAAATCCTTTCTTAATATATTAGCTAATTTGTTGAAAATAAATGTATATATTGATCTATTAATATATTAGTTAATATTATCCTTTTCTTCGCGTTTGGGTGGATCATCCTTTTGTTAATATATTAGTTATTATCATGTGGAACGACTTGTTCTCCAAGCAGAACGGCCCGTTCTCCAAGCAGAATAGCCCGTTCTCCAAGTAGAACGGCCCGTTCTGCTTGCATTCGTTATGTTTTTTTTTTTACAATTTTTTTACTTCGAGTCTTGATAATGTCCGACGTAAATTTACGTCGGCTATCACAACCAACGTAAATTTATGTCTCTCGCATTAACGTCAGAGTTTTTTTTGACATAAAAAGCTTAATATAATATACGTAAATTATCCCTTTTATACTAGTGATACAATTTTTATTTTTTTTATTTTTGTAGAGTACCGGTAATATATCAAGTACTACGTGATATTTTATTGACGGCATAACATGTGTTAGAAAGTGAGTCCCTATTTATTAATGAATAATGATAGGCGGATACTCTCATACATAAAATGTTTATTATTTCATTTTATCTATCTTTCAATCATATAGTATATCACTCATCATAACAATATTTTTTTTTCTTTCTCACTGCATGGTAATCCGTATCCACCTTTCTTTTTTCCTCCTTTCCTAATTTAAGCATCACACAAGTCTAAGCTTTTCAAGTGATGATTGCACATCGATCTCATCGCCACCATTTGCTTCCAAGGATTCTTTGTAGGTCATTCCTTGGTATTTTTGCTGGTTTTCTCTATCAACAAACTCTGTGCTCGGGCTTATAAATTTGTCCAACGCAGGTCCATGAAGGGTGACAACAGATATCCTTTGCACCTCGTTATTCTTCACAATAACTCGATGGATGTGACTCTTGTACTTTCCATTGGTTAAGATCTAAGTGAAGGTTGAAGAAAAAAAAAATTGTTAACCGAACGGTGTAAATTAAATTTGTTCAAGTAACCAAAAATTAATAAATCACAGGATATGGAGTTAAATTAAGGACAAAACTTAAGTATTGTTTAATTAGATTTAGAATTTCATGTTGGTGTTGATGTTGTTTAAAGTTGAGGTTTCATCTCGCTATCTAAGTTCCAACTCTAATTAAAAAATTGGACCAACAATATTTCGAAATTGTATCTAAATTTTATCTTAAATTGAATTAAATTGAGGCACCTCAAGATGATCACCAAGTTGGATGAGTATGGCATGATGAGGAATATGAACATTAATCCACTTTCCTTGGTGGGATAGGATTTGGAGTCCACCATCTACATCTTGCACGAGTGTAATCACAAAGCCAGGGTCAGTGTGTTCAGGGATGCCAATAGCCCCCTTGGACCTAGAATTGGGTGGATAAAGGTTCAAGGCCATTACATCAAACCCTGACTTCAGGTTGAATTCCTTCTCTATGTAGTCTTCTTCAAACCCTAGGGTTTTGGACACTGCTCTTGCTAGTCCTACTACCATCATCCTCATGGCTTTGTGATATTCTTCTATATTTTTTCTGATTAAAGAAATAACCATGATAAAATGAATCACGCGCCAAACACATCACAATAAATATATATGAGCCAAATTAATTTTATAATAAACTAGATCAGAAAATAAATATCATTCATATGTGTATACCTAAGACTTGATGGATTCGAAGGAGAATGGAACTGGGGATGTGCGACGACCTTGAGATACTCCCTATTTTCCCCAGCAGAGGAGTTTAGATCCCATCGAATTTTATCCGATGGGCCACTTTTTCCGAAAACCTTTCTCTCATCTATTGTTTTTGGATCACAGAAACCAGAAAATCCCTTTAGAACACTGTCCAACACTTCACCTGGAATGTTATGGTTTACCAGCTGCATGCATACGAAGCAATGATCATAAATATATATATTAAAACATGTTATATGTTAATACTTGAGGTATAATCGAAAGTTGTTAATTAACACAAATGGTTTATTACTTGTGTTTTTTAACTAAAGATTAAAGTTTATCTTAAAGAGAATGTAGTCACAATTAAAAGTACTATACTTTATCTCTAAAATAGGCAAATTGGGTGGGAAAAAATAGGGTATTCATGATCCGGCCCTTCCCACCAACCCGGTCTGGCCTGATCGGACTTTGACTGGTTTAAGTTTAAAAAATTAATTCAAGAGAATTATTTTAAGGACACGTTAAAGTTATACTTTAACTCATCTCAACCTTGTTTAAAATATTTTTTTAGATGTATTTTAAGGACTGATTTAAGTAAAGACATAAGTAAATTCATCTCAACCAGTCTCATAAACACTACTAGGAGAGAATTATATACTTCTCATTATTATAATAATAGATTGAATATATTTTTTAGTTCATGAATATTATTTGTCATTTTTCAATTTTAGTCCTGAAACGAATTTTATTTGATTTGAGTCCCTAAATTATTTTCCATGATCAAAAAATCTTCATGTCAGAGACTAAAAATGTTATAAGGAGAGAAAAAGTTATTGGAGTAAAAGTGAAAATCAACAAAAAATTTAGGGGCTAAAACTGCTAAAAAAATTGTTTGTAAACTAAAAGTAAAAAAATGGATAAAAGTTCAATAACTAAAAATATATTTAATCTTATAATTATTTTAAAAGAGAAAAGCAGCCATGCAAGGTATAT